TATATTTGGAAACAGGAATGAATTGGATGAAAACTTTGCCTATAGCCCTGTTTAGAATAAGAACACAACCTAGGAGGGATGTTGGGATTTCACCTTATGAGATGTTATTTGGCATGCCACTAAGGAATGCTGGTATACAAATGGGGAATCTACCTAGTAAAGATAAGGGACTGATTCAATACTTGCAAATACTGTCCCAGACTTTTGATTCTTTCAGAAAAACTGGCTATTTGATACAAACTCCTCCTCTAAGCTTCAAAGTCCACTCCATAGAAGTCGGAGACCAAGTGTGGATAAAGACGTGGAAAGATGATTCCCTCAAACCAAAGTGGGATGGACCGTTCTTGGTGTTATTGACCACAGACACTGCCATTCGAACACAAGAAAAGGGTTGGACTCATTATACCCGAGTAAAGAAGGCTAATCTTGAGGAGTCGGAAACATGGAAAGCATTTCAAAAAGAACCATTGAAACTGGTGTTAAAAAGACAATGACTTATATCCTTTTGAATATGACAATAGTGGCGATTGGGGGAAAATTATGGATTGAGCCGCCTAGAATCTTTGAACATAATGGAACTTGGACACAAATTCGGTGTTATAATGACAAAGAGAGTGAACACTGTCCCATGAACTGGATCTTTGAACCCAAAATTTGGTGGTGTGAATCTAAGTTGCAACCAAACTGGCAGCAAGTAGGTCAGGAGAAAAGCTGGGTAACTCAAAATAAAGGGGGTAAGTGTCAAAGTACTCTATATTTACAAGTAACCAGGGAGACTATAGGTAAATATACCTGTACCATGTGGGAAGGGAAAACTTATTTGACTAGTCACTCTTTTGTGGCTTCTCCAGACTCCTTTGAATTTCCTCCTATTCCCTTGTGGATATGGACAGCTTCGGCTATGAGGAGACACTTTCTGCGGAGAGAAAAGAGAGCAACTAGTACTATTATCTGTCTAAAAGGTGGGGGACATCAAAAGGGAGAGTTCCAATACTGGAAAACTACTCAATATGGATGTAATCTGACTCTGGAAGTAACACCAAGGCAAACCCAGAGAGATCCAGCTTGGACTTGTAAAAATCAAAGTAGAGAGTGGATGAGTGGAATTACCCAGATGTGTGAAAATGCAACCAGGGGAGACCCAAGGTGCCATTGGATAGGGAAGGCCTTGTGGTACAGTGGTTGTGGCACAGAAGGGGAAAGCACTGATTATCTCTACTTTCTATGTAACAATACTAGGAGTCAGTATTTACAACCTGAATGGGAAGGGCTGTGTGAAGTATTATGGGAAGAACTTGTTCAGACTCATCAGCCTGTCCATTCCTTATCCCCTCCTGTTAGAAAGATGAGAACTACTGTTACTACAAAACAGACCACAACGAAGTTCGGACCCTGCCAAGAGTGCACAGAATGTATTAAAAAGACCAAGCAAGGGAATATAGTTACTAGTACCTTATTATATCACACTCTAAAACCAGAATGTAATGCTACTAAAGTGCAACCTTGTGTATGTAATCAAACTCAATATTTTAGGTGTTATACAGCCCAAGGGATGCAGTGCTATGAACCAAAAGCAGTAGGTCCAATTACTGCTAGCATTTATGTATATGGATATAAAGGGGGAGTTACTGGAACAGAAGGGTTATTTGCTATAGCCCAAACTAAGGGAGGATACGTTGCCCACAATACCACAAGGGGAAATACCAAGCTGTCCGTGTGTTTTGACACTTGTAAAGCTATAAGGATAGGACAAGGACATGATAATAGACAAGGAATGAAGTGTGGTAACTTTGAGTGGGAAAAAGATTATATGAGGGAAGAAAAATATTTATTCCAAGTTGCCATGCCCGCTGCGAGTACAGGCCAGGTGGCTTTTGCTCCAAGTCACACTTATTGGTATACCACTAAGACCCCTTGGGAATGGAGGAAAGGACCCCAGGGGTTCAACTTGTCTATGGCCTCAGTATCAACAGATTGTAAACCAGAACAGTGTACACGGATTTGCTTACAAATCAAGGCATCTGAAACCCCCTCTACTAATTTTTACTATTTTGGTATTGGTATAAATGGAAGAGGAAAAGATCCATATGGGTATATTATAGTAAAAGTGAGTTCAACAAAGTTAACTTCAGAGCCAGTAAAGGTATATTGGGAATATCAGGAAGAGATTGCAAAACTTAATAGTCTCCCTGTTCCACCAAAGGCTAAAAATATGTTTATCGCTTTAGCCCAAGAGGTTGCTCAGAAGTTAATGCTGAAAAATTGCTTCGTGTGTGGGGGAACCAATATGGGAGATGAATGGCCATGGCATGCTAGAGAAGCTAATTATACTGAAATTGAGAAATGGAAAGGAAATTTCACTTACCAGAACACCTATAATGAAACTTGGAGGATGTCCATTAACCTGGTGGGCAATATATGTTACTCGAGGAGTAACCGTAGTGGGAGAACTAAACCTATGGGGTTCATGCGCTGTTTGAACACCTGGGAAAACAATACTTGGATATCACAAACGAATCAAAGTGTCCCTAACAACTCTTTATCTTTAATTCCCGAGCTGCCTTCCTAAAAGATCCTGAAAACGATACCCTCCTCTGGACCACTCCTGATGGGTTATATTGGATCTGCGGAGCATTTGCATATAATATTCTCCCTGCTGGATGGTTTGGGTCTTGTATTCTGGGTGCTATACAACCCTCTTTCTTCCTCTTGCCATTACAAAGAAGACAATTATTGGGTGTCCCTGCCTATGAACATGTGGGAAACTTGGTAAGGCGGTCTGTGGCTAAAGTGGGAGAAGGGTTAAAAATTGGGAATTGGAAAGATGATGAATGGCCACCCGAACGAATAATTGCTTATTATGATCCAGCTACATGGGCCCAAGATGGAAGTTGGGGGTATAGGACCCCAATTTATATGTTAAACAGAATTATCCGATTACAAGCAGTAGTAGAAATTATAACCAATAGAACAGCTGAGGCTTTAACTAAGTTGGCTAAAGAAAGTGTTTTGTCCAGAACATATATTATGCAAAACCGCTTGGCTTTAGATTATTTGTTGGCTAAGGAAGGAGGTGTCTGTGGAAAATTTAATTTAACAAATTGCTGTATACAAATTGACGATTCAGGCATGGTAATTAACCAGATAACGAAAGACATGGTTAGAATTGCACATGTACCTGTACAAACTTGGACAGGGATATTGGATGATGAAGGGTTCTTGGGAGGAATATTCAGAAATTGGAAACAGGCTCTGTTTATGGTATGTATTATATTCATTGGAATAATGATGTTACCTTGTCTGGTTCCAGTAATAAAGAACCTAGTAAACAGTTCAGTCCACGGCATATTACAAGCCCAACAAAATGCTAAGTCCATAATGGTATTAAAAGAAATTGAGGACCAAATCCAGTTGTTGGAAAATATGAATACTTCACATCCAATGAAAACTACCAAAGAAGAAACTAGTAGGTTAAATGAAATAAAAGAAAATATTAAACTAGTGACCAAATAAGAAATGGGGGAATTGAATGGGAAGGTTCTAGAAAAGTTTAAAATTTTCTACCCAGCAACAGGCTCACTGAGCATGTGCGGGAAAACCTGAGTACGTGCCTGGAACTAGGTATGAAATGTCCACATGTAGAGAACAAAAGAATACCCATATATGGTAAGGTAGGAGGTAAGGTAGGATAATTGTGTCGTCTGATAGGTTTGTAACCTGCCACGTCAGGAATAGCTGACGTAGGTATAGGAGGAGATAGGGAGGAGTATAACTGCTGTTGCGCTTCTGTAGGAGGTGTGGCTTTTCCCTGCGACTCTTGTGAGTACGGGTTAAGTTCCACCACGCTTTGCAAACCGTCTTTTCTTGATTTTTGATAATAAAAGAAACTTTATTCTTCTACTCCGAACCTCGTCTCTGAATTTCTTTCAAGGAATTCTACAAACAACATCAACAACAAAATAAAAAAAATCTAGGATGCAATTATTTCATATTGGCTCTGTACGGATTTCTCTTCTAGAACAAATAGGCTAGTAAGAAAACAGAACATTCTAAAAATCTATTTTCAGCAGAACTGCAGCTAAAGCATTGCAACTCTTCTGATATTTTAGCAAGGTCTTTGATCCTATTGTAACACCCCCCCCCCCAATATTCATTTATCTTATTGAATGTGGAAGACTGGGCAATAGTGAGGAAACTACCTAACTTAATAGGAGTAGAATACAAAATAACCAAGTTGGAAGGGATTTTGGAGGTCTTCTAGTCCAATTCTTCTACCATTCTGGACAAATGGCTTTCTAATTTCTTCTTAAACATTTCTAGGGCTGGAGCACCCACAGCTTCTGGAGACAAGCTGTTTTACTGATTGTTTTCTGATAAGAAATTTCTTCTTAATTCTAGGTTAGGTCTCTCTTTGGCAAACTTCTATACGTTACACTCAGATATTATTACAGTTGTTACTACAATGAGCTAAATTATTATATTAGCTATCATCTTATCCCCTTGTTGATCTACCAAATCTTCAGAATCAACGTGGTCTCTCCATAGTTCAGATACAACACCATACTTTGCACTGTTGCCTCAATTGGTGCAAAAGAGGCATCTTAAAATCCTTAATTGCCAAGAAAACAAAACTCTCTAGCCAAGACTTAAACTGAGCACCACCAAAGTCCCTCATTCTGAAATCACTGCAGTTCTGGCATGCAAAAGCTACTGTTACTTTTAAAACAGAAGAAGATAATTTCACAAGATCCCCAGTGCTGAAATACTATCCAGGCAAAAGAAAAAGGCATCCCATCTCTTTGTCAAAACAAAACCAAGAAAACATAGTCTTTCTTTCATTTTGGAATTATTTTCAAAAGTCAAGAATGTTATTCTTGTTTAATATTTATCCTAAGACTCTGCACAAGATGATCAGAGACTCAACACACTCACTGTTATATGGGGAAGCATAAGCTGATTCGTATTAGCAACTCATTTTTTGTATTAAAACCTCAACTCACCTGAGGATCAAAATGCACTTTCAGCTTCTCCTGTTTCTTTTTGATCACCTGCCCAGTGCCACGACTTAAGAGAGACAGACTGGACATTTTTAAGATGAATGAAGTGCCGCTTCAGGAGTCTTCCCGTAGCTTCTAAAAGCAGAGTTATATTTCATTATAGAACATTCTCATCTTACTTAACAATGTTATTAAGTATAGCTCAATTTCATAACAGCAACATTAATCCATAAAGTAGTTTTGTATTAAACTAGAACTAGAAAAGTAGAGCAGTCTATTGGAAAGCTTAATCTGATATTATTATCTCCCCTTGAGGTTACTTTTCTAGTATTCTTCCTGGTTTTTTTAATTATTATTATTATTATTCTATTCTGGTTAGTCCCAGGATTCATGAAAAGACTGCCATCCTTTTCATTGTGCTCTGAGGTTGTTTTCATGTTGCCATGGCAGCAAAGGAAATTGTTTAAACTACAGCGGAGGGAATGTTGGGAAGAAAGAAAGAAAATGAATGATTTTTGAAAGGATCAGGATCAAATTTCAAGACTGTTGCCCTGCAAATTCCTCCCTCCAATCAAAAAGTAACATTATCCTCCAACTCTTACAACTCCTGACATCCCATTGCCTCTCCTCTTCTTCATTATTACTATTGAAGCATTTTATATGATCTGCAGCCAGTGAATGCCTCCCTTTGTGTTGCTCCAGAATTAACTCTGCTCTTCTGTTTCCACAGTATTATGTTTGTTGGGCAGCTAAGCTAATTTATTTCCCATTCAGCTGCAGGGGGAAAAAATGATATTTTCATGTGAATTGTTGAAAAACAGCAGAGCTTCTGGAAAACTAGGATTCCCACTGGTGGGAATTCTCACCTCAGCTCCTAGGCTGATGTTGCCTTCTATCCTACAGCCTTGAATGGGAGAAACAGCACAATGACTTGATAGGACTACCTCAGAGCAAGAACCCTTGAGTTTTTTTGAGCAGATAAATGCTCATCACCCTTCTGAATCTGCCAGGAGTTATCTAGGTTGATTTATTTATTAATTTGGATGTTGTCAAATCCAGACTGAATACCTTGCAAGCTAATGCCAAAGGGTCTCAATCTGGACAGGATTCTTTAAAGCCAGTTTAAAATAACGTTGTCATGAGCAGAAGATAGGAATAACTTAAGAGGCAGTGTGGCTATGCCCATTGTCTACAAAATAAAGCCATATCCATGGCCATGATGATAGTGCTGTAGCTATAGTTAGCATATAGCTAATGGGGGGGGGGGGGAAATCCAAGGTGAAAATATTCTGATCAATTAAAATGGAAAAAGTTCTGGAGGTAATTACAATTATTAGATACTTCAAGAAAGAGATGATCAATTTAAGTGCTGCTTGCTTTTTTGTCTGCTTTTTTTAAAAATGAAGATGTTGTTCAAATGAGTTCTTAAAAGTTGTCTGAATTTACTTGTGTGATGCTTTAACAGAGGACTGACCCCTAAGCAGTTTATGATGACCCCTGTATGATGACCCTTGTAGCAACTGAGACCTAGCCCCTTAACCAACAGATCATGCAATGAATATGTCTAAGGTTCAGGATAATTCTGCTCATGGTCATGGAGAATTCTGGAAGTTGAAATCCATAAATCTTAAAAGTTTCTGAGGTTGAGAAACGTGATGCTAGATTAGAGGTGGATTGAAGGTGGATTGTAATGGAAACAAAACAGGTAGCTGCTATTGAAATTAACAATCACCCATTTATACTGTTAGAACAACTGTACAATACACACGTTGTTCAGCTGTTATTTTGGCCTGCTGTGATTCTGTTCCCCTCTTTATAAGCATTAGTGTTGATATTCTCTGGGCTGGAACATGTCCTCCAAATCTAGCTTTCATAGCTAATTGTCATGTTAGAAGTAATGTCTTCCTCCTGGTTCATCCAAGCCGGGAATAAATAAGCAAACATGGCGACTGCTTTGGGAAAAAGGTTACAGTTTATTACAGAGAGATGGTTCTTCAGGAAAGTGCAGAGAGAGAAGCGGTGAGCACATGGTGTTGTAGGTTTTTATATCCCCTCTAGACTTTTGTTTGGAATAGTTTCCTGTTCCTGTGGCATGAACTTTGAGACTATTTCCTGTGTCATGTATTCTGACCTGAGTTTTGGTGTGCCTCTATGGTATACTTGATGGTAATGGGTTAGTCCTATTATATCCCAAAAGTCATCTCCTGCTTCCCTGGGGCTGGGCTAATGACTCTTAAGAGTTTCTTTGTCTTGAGTTCCCTGGCTCCAACCTTCCTGATGGTTTTACATTTGCATTTGTATGTACCTCTTGCTTGGGACAAAGAAATTTGGGGCCAGGTTTGGTTTCTGTTTTTCAAAAAATCCTTTTGGGGAAAAATATATTTTCCTTTTTAATATTTCCTTCTGGGGGGGGGGCTAACTTCCCTCAGTCAGGAGAACAAATATGATTCTTGCTCTGGGGTAGGCAAATGCTCTGCTTTTCCTTATACACGTGTCTTCTCTGCCAAAGCCCATGTAGCCTGTCAAGCACACTTGAACGTCAATCTTCTAAAACTTGTCCCCTGCTGCCATATATAAAGTAATACAGCGGGCTACTTTCAGCTGGAATTTGTAGTGCCTTTCATGCGACAAAGTAAAGCAGCACTAGAAACTGTACAAAACGAACAAGCCCTCAAAAAGGTGATCTGGTCTCCAAAGCAGACAGCTTTTTTAAGCTGAGCATTTGAAAATAACTAGAGCTTCAAAATGGGATGTACTGAAGTATTTGCATTCCTGTAAGTAGAGACTGAAAAGCCATGAATTTGGGTGTGGATCAATAAATCTGACCTGACCCTGAGATAGTTCTGTGTTTTCCCTAAATCTATCCCATCTCCCATGTTCACATTTTACTAGATCATATACCATATATGGTGAAAGTGTAGGATTACGTATCCTAGTTGATAACAGGGTACTGTACTTTTATATTGTACTTTGTGAACCATTTTGAAAGCCAAAATGTAACTTATAAATGTCTTTAATAAACAAATGTAACATTTCTGGTGTTAAAGGATAAATATCATTTGTCTGTTGCAACCCTTAAGCAATAGTTACAGCTACATTTTATTGGCATCTCAGTTTGGAAAAAGTGACATTTTCAGCTTCAGGGACACCTAAATAAATAGAAGTAATCACTAAATCTTATTAAGATTTTTAAAAATCCCACTTTTAGTCTTTCTACTTCTTACTGATAAACAATTTTACCTGCTCATTTTAAAAACTTCCTTATCTTTAAATTTTTTGCAAGGAACAAGGAATTTAAAATTCCTATTTTGTCAATGGGAAGTTATCTTGAAATATGTAATGTTCCAATAAACTGCAACTTACTCAATGAAAAGATATTTCAGACGTATTGGACGTATTGGACTCTACTGTATTTCTTTAGAAAATAAAATTGTAAATCACTGTGTTATGTTAGATGCAATCAAAATAGTGTGTCATCAAAACATGGTTTTATGATGTTCTAAAATGAGTGTTCTGGGAACATGTAATTACACATATTAATTAAATTTCAGGAATGGTTTAATATTTTTGCACCTCTGAATTCTTTGGATGTACGCATCTATTACAGAGAAACAGGGCTGGATAATGTCTTTTTCTTTGTTAAGGAGACTAGTCCTTCAACATTGGAGAAATAAATTTGCAGCTCCAAATACCCAATGCTGCTTACCATTAATGGAGTTGCTTGTGAAAAAAGTAAATTTTATTAAAGTTAGGCAATCTAATAGTTGCATGGATTGCTTTTAAATACCATGTTTTTTATTCATAATTTGCAAAATTCATTTTTCTGGCAATCTTTAAAAGAGTCTGCTATGTCAGCAATAAGGTGGTTGAAAACTCATCAAGGCACCATCCTACTGATAATGGTTGATAACAATGGTTATTTGCAAGGCTATTTATTTATTTATAAGGGTATAGTTTGTATAGCTGCCCATCTCAAACCAGGGACTCTGGGCAGTGAACAATCATAAACATAATTAAAAGCAAGAACATAATACTAAAAAAAAAATACACATAGCAAGCAAGAGATGATATAATCTGCCAGTGTCAAAATAACTAGGAAACAAGGCCATTTGGATCCTTGGCCCAGGCATGTGGCAATATCTTCAAGGCCTTCCAAAAGACCAGCAGGGTTGGGGTCATCCTAACCTTTGCAGGGAGAATGTCCAGAGGTCAGGGGCTACTCCAGCAGAAAAGCCATGTCTCCTGGTTCTCACCTGCCAAAATTCCTTGGCAGACAGAACCCATAATTACCAGATTGGACAGGTAGAAGCAACTGGATGAAGATGGCTCCTCAAATAACCAGACCCAAGCCACGAAGAGCTTTAAAGATGACAACACCTTGAGTTGCACCTAGAAACATACTGGCAATCAATGCAATGAAGAAATGATGTTACATGTGCCAAATAAACAACATTATAACTTGTTCACTGCATTCTGTCAGCTGAAGTTGATGCTCCTCAAGGGCAGCCCCATGTAGAGTGTGTTGCAGTAGCCCAAAAGGAAATTAAAAGGGCATGAGTAACAATGTGTGGAACCTCCTGCTTCAAGAAGGGGCGCAACTGATGCACAACCTGAAGGTATGCAAAGACCCTCTTAGCTATGGCTACTATCTGTTCTTTTTTGTTTTACTGATTAATGACTGTATAAATCATTTTCCTACATGGCTAAATCATTTATTAAAGTAATCATATAAGCCATACTGTTATATTAGCTAACATAATACTGAGTGTTATATTAGCATTATGTGTACATATATATTTTTGTATAAATATACATTTATGTGAAGTGGAGTAAGAAATATGTGGGTATATTATCCATTAAATAACTTGAGAAGATATATAAAGCTTTCAAAACATTCTCTGCTAGACTTCATAAATTTGTGAAAATGGGAATATACGTAGACCTAGCACAAATGATTATTCTTACTCACCTTGAATCTTTTTTGTGGTCACAATTTTATTTGTTTTTTTAAAGCAAGTTTAATAGTATAATCCTAAACATATCTATGAGAACAAAAGGCTGTTCATTAGTAAGACACAATAGGCTGCCAGGAGTGAAGGTTGCAGAGATGAATTGAATTTTCATCAGACAACCCCACCCAGTAGGGCCAACTAAGAGATGCTGGGTGCTGGAGATGATCAACATGTGGAGGTATGCTCTAGGCCTGGGCAAGGGTCTCAAGTTCATGGCCTACAGGGTAAATGTGGTTCTGGGAAAGGTAAGTAGATCAGGATGGAGTCGTGCTTTTCTTCCTAAAGACTTAACAGGACTGTAGGTGCACAACAGAAGTAGGCCCTAGTTCTGTGGCAGCTTCAAGCAAGGCTAGCAGCACAGCCATTATTCATCCTACCCTGCCCAAGGTTGTACAAGTCTACAGCTATGACAAAGAGGAACCCATGCGTGAGGACGGAAGCCAACTTTCAGCCTCAGTCCTACGTTAGTTCTCCTAGGACACTTCAGGTGGAGAGGAAACCTTCCATTGGGGGTGAGGAACAATGAGAGGATCTCTGAACTCAATGCAGCATTGACAACTTGGCAGAGATTCTAGCAGGGCCAAGATAGAAACTACCCATCACACCAAGCTCCAGCATGCATTGTAAAACCATACTGGAA